GGGGGGGGGGGGGGGGGGGGGGGGGGGGGGCAAAGGCTCTGTAAGGATGTTATGGGCCTGGAGACTTGGTCTAGCTGTATCTATAACAATTGTGGGCTTTTTCCTACCCATCACCCTCTATCTGTGGCCTGGTGGCCGAGTTACAGCCAGCACCCACAGCAGGTGAGTGGTCAGCTCGGGAGAAGCCACGGGGAATGTCCACTGCATGAGCAGACCTGACGTCAACCCATAGTGACCTGTGCACCTTCTTCCGGTGCCCGCTGCACGTGGTACCTGCTGCTTCCCCTTGCATGTTTGTGTCCTATATGTGTTGTCTTCTCCCCTCACTCAGCCTTCCCAATGCCGAGCTTGCTGGTCCTACGGTGGGCAAGGGGCCCCTTTCTTAGTGATTTCATCAGATGGGTAACCTAGCTCATGCCTACCAGAGCCAAGATATCCTTGGTCACTGCCCAACAGCAGACCTCTGCCTCTGGGGGAAGGGGCCCAGTGGTAAGTGGGTGACAGACAGTTCCAATGCCAAGCCTGCTTATTGTGTGTTACAGTTTCTACTCTGCCCTGCAGCCCTGTGAGGCTTCCAGGATAGCAAGTTATGCCATATTGGACTCCCTCTCCCCTGCTCTGCCAAGGCAAAAGGTGTGTTCGTGTAGCATAGGTCACACCACACTGACCTTTTGCCCCATTCTCCTCCAGGGCATTGAACGCCTCCAACGAAAGAAACAGCCCCGGGAGCGCACGGGCAGCTGCAAGTCGGTCCAGGAGGCTTTTGGTGGGGACTTTTCCCTGAACTGGTTCAACCCTTTCACCAGACCTTGCCAACCAGAGATACCCATTGACAAGGGCTTGGTACGGCAAGCGTCATCTCTGTCAGACATGGACAACATGGAAACAACCGAGAGCCAATTGGAGACAAAAGACAGGGACTCTGTGGAGGTGCTGGATGAATAGAGGCTGTGGGGAATAACACAACAACAGTAGCCACTGGCCTGGTGGGTACCCCAGCTCCCTGGGCTCCCACAGGCCACTCTGTCACCCTACCCTTTCTCCAGTTAGGACACGGGGTGGGGCGTGGGCAGAGGAGAGTAGGGACTTTCCCTGAGTTTGTCTTAGTAGGGTGTGCCAAAAGGGATGGTCTGGAGCCATTCTCCAGGCCTGGGAAGGCTGCCAAGCACTATTCAGCAAGGGAAAAGGTGGCCAGGGTGGACTTGGGGAAGGGTACTGACATCAGGGATTACCAACCTGAAAGGCTAGAGACACCAGCCATTCCTAGAGAAGGGAGTCCTTGCCTGGCTGGCTGTGGGAATCAGGACAAAGGATGGGGCTACTGAACCTCCCCTCCGTGCTTGGGCTGAAAGATTACCCCACCCATCTGTATGCATGTGTGCAGAACCTGAGCCTGAGTTACGACAGTATCACCCCAAAATAGTTCCCATCCTATAGATACTAGACTCTTCTCTGAGCCAGCTTTTCTGTGGCCACAAGATTGCATTCCCGGAAGAGCTGGGAAAGGACATATATTGAGCTCCTGGAGAAAGTTTAGTAAGACATGGGGACAGGTGCAACCAGAAACAGCCACCTTTGTGTTTCAGAACAGCCCCCAAGACAGCGCCTCACAGAAAGCTGCATGGCTGCACCTAGTGGCGCACGCCTTCATTCCCAGCATTTGGGGCAGGCCACCAGATACAACCTTGTCTACAGAGGTCCATGCTGCATAGTGAATCCATGTTTTAAATACAACAAAAAAAGAACTGCATAGTGGCCAGGACATGCAGACTGCTGGGAGCTTGTGTATCTGGCTGTCACTGGCAGTCTGGGCAGACTCCTGCACTCTCCAGTCTATTGCAGTACTTGCTGAAGCAGCAGATTCTGCAGTCTCTCCAGTTAGATAAGTCTCAAGAAGCACACCAGTTCCCCAGCTCAGGCCTTGACATTCCCCAGTGTTGCTGGCAGCGACCCTGGCAGAAGATTCTGTATTACATCCCTTCTTCCAGTTCTGGGTGAAAGGACATGAGTCCTGGACCAAGAGAACCTGTGGCCTCAGTGGCATGAGTCAGTATTACTTGAGGTACTGTCTCAGGACACGGAGAAAGGAAAGCTGTGGGGTGCCAAGTAGTGGTCTTACTCTTGGGCAGCATCCTAGGCAGTCCCTGGAGGGTAGAGATCCGTCAGATTTTCTTAGTACACCCCACACAGGGTGGCGGTAGGGCTCCAGCACTAACAGATGTGGCCGACCCCCTCCACTGCAGGTGATCTGCTTTAACGTTTATTAGGACTAACATGAGGAGCCCAAGTTGGCCCCACTGCTGACCCTATTTGGAGAGAGCGGTCCTCTGGCTGCAGGGCCCCTAACCCCAAACAGACCTGGACGGCCTATGTGCTGGACCATATACCAGAGACTCCACACCAAGGAGAAAGTAGGGCTAGTGACTTGGTCCCCAAGGAACAACAGTTAAAGGAAGGAGCTTTGGAGTCAGGATCTGTGTTGAGTTCAGGCCCTCAAGAATGTCCTTGAACACTAGGTCTTAAACTCCTTGGAGCCATCTTGACCAGCAGCAAAGGTACCTCCCAGCCCCACAGCCATTTGTTTCCAGAGTACTTCCCCTAGAAAAGTTGAGGCGGGCAGGCATTTTGCTCTCACAGGTTTAGACCTCTTCAACAAACCCATTATCATGTCAGGGCCTCAGCCTCATCTCTACCAAGGAGAGACGGGCAGCCAGGATCATGTAGGTAGTAGTCTGTCCAGCCCTGAACCTTGTGCCTTTTCTCCACGGTGACTCCTGAGATTATGCTCAGCATGGCAACTGATAGGAAGAGGTCCGGTGTTTCTAGGAGGGAGGCCGGTTATATGCCTGCCTCTTGTTTGAATAAAAGTTCTTTGATCTACCTCTGTGGGTAAAGGTGCTTATTTTTAGCAGGGGATCCCAACCCAGCACCCTGGACAGCGTACTTCCTCTCAAGTCCAATACAGAAAATACCCCTTGTTCAATCTGTACTCAGTCTCTCTGGAGTACATGTCCACTTAGAAATTATAGCCCATGAGAGAGGCTGGCCATCCTGAAGAAGGCCCAGACCAAGGAGGCCAACCCCCTTGGAAAGAGCTCCTGGATCCGTGAAGTTCAGAGGTGATGCCTCTCCCCAGGTTTGTTAAGCAGCATGCTGGTATAAAAGAAAAATTTAACTCAGGACCACATAGCCGTCTTAAAGTCACCAGAGTTTAATTCAAAGCATAGTGATCGTCTGAGCAGATCCCTTGCTGGCAGAGCAAAACAGACTCCAGTCAGCAGAGCAGGGTAAGTTGCTTACCCGATATTATCATTGGCCATAGACAACTCCTCGTAGGGGTCTCCTTCCCATGGCCTGCCTAGAGACAAGAGGGCCTCACGCCAGCGTGGGGCCTGCTTCTGAGAGGACAGAGCCTTGAGATGAGCATGTAGTGCCCAGGACCAGGATGCTTTCCTACAGAACTGTCAACTCAGCCTCTAGACACCCATGGACTTGATAGAGTCCATAGTCCAGATGGAAGACACCTCCAGCACTTTCAGTCCCCCAGAATAGCAGCTCTGGGCTCTGTATACGGTTCTGAACCCCGATGACAGTTGCACTGTCTTCTGAGGCCATGACTCCTAAACTTGTTTGAGATGTCTGCCTGTGATGTATGCTTCAAGCTGTAGAGAGGTACCCTGCCCCCATGGGGCTACTGCCCGATGTTACATTGGCCTTTGAGCTCTATCTTTTGCTGGGCTGGCTCTTGAATCTGCCCTTACATGAGTAATTAAATCCAATCATCCCTGACCTGAAAGCTAAGTACAATTTAGGAAATACTAACAAGCTTAGCTAAGGCTCAGAGCCAATCAGGGCTCCTGCCTTCATCTCCGTGGTATCAGCTGGGCTAGTTAGTGATGAGAACGATCTTCTCGGAATGCACATCCTTCACTTGTCTGGAAGTAAACTTGACAATAAATTTCCTGGGTCCAATTTTCTCTGGGGTGCATTTCATTTGGAAATGGATGAACTTTCCAGGTGGCACTGTCCTAGAAAATTTAAACGCACACAGTCAGCAAAGATGCCACAGAAGGAAAGTGCATTGCATGAGGAGCCAGGCATCTGGTTGTGGGACAGCTCTTGCAAAAGCCTTCTGCTCCAGGGCCCAGTAAACGGCCTCCACCCAGAATGTGGCTACTTGTCTCAGCTGTAGGACAAGATGGCTAGCTGGGATGACTACTTTCCAGCTATGCCAGTCACAAACCCTCCTGGGGGGTCTTCAGGAACATGGCTCCTGGTGAATCTACAAGAAGGTGTTGTCTAACTCTAGGTACTTAAGATGCCATTACCTGGGAGGGTGATAGACTCTGAGGCCCCACTCCAGAACTTCTGAACAGAATCTGTTCTTTAACAATGTTCCCGGGGAATCTACATCTGTGAAGGTTTAAGAAGCCCTAGTCTCCTCTTTCCTTTCTGCCGCCGCCATGCCATCCAGACTGAGGAAGACCCGGAAACTCCGGGGCCACGTGAGCCATGACCACGGTCGCATTGGTAAACACCGCCAGCATCCAGGAGCGCAGGGATGCTGGAGGTATGTATCACCACAGGACCAACTTCGACAAATACCATCCAGGGTACTTTGGGAAAGTTGGTATGAGGCATTGCCACTTAAAGAGGAACCAGAGCTTCTGCCCAACTGCCAACCTGGATAAGCTGTGGACACTGGTCAGTGAGCAGACTCGGGTCAACGCTGCCAAGGACAAGACTGGAGCTGCCCCCATCATTGATGTTGTGCTATCAGGCTACTACAAAGTTCTGGGGAAGGGAAAACTCCCTGAGCAACCTGTCACCGTGAAAGCCAAATTTTTCAGCAGAAGAGCTGAAGAGAAAATAAAGGGTGTTGGAGGTGCCTGGGTCCTGGTGGCTTGAACTACCCAGGGAGGTTAACTAAATGCTAACATTTTTCAAAAAAAAAAAAAATAAGAAAAAAAAAGAAGCCCTAGTCTCAGAATAACAGGAGTCTGTTGGGATTTACTTGGGAGATATAGACACTTGGTAAGAAATAATCTCAAGGAACAAAGCATTTGATTAAAATCCTGTACTGGGTATGTCAGCATAACAAAATCAATAGCATCTATCTAGTTCATCAGACAGGAAACAGTGAGAAATATCCCCAACTAGGAATATGTTCCTTACAAACAAGACACGTGGATACATGGGAATTCATCCTATGTCCCTGCAAGGTGAGACCCAGTATTGTTTAGCACAACACAGTTTCAGTTTAAATCGCCAGTCAAGATGATTCTAAAAGTTCTATTTTTGAGAAACTGAGGGAGGAAATCTACCTGCCTTCCACATAGCATTGTATACTTCCCAGTACAGCCATTCAAGTGACACAAGATCACCTACAAAGACAAGTGAAGGACAGTCCAGGGGCTGAGGTATATTTGGGGATTACCTGTACTATAGACAGTGTTTCAGAATACTAGGGGAATGATAGGTTATTTCACAAAGTTGGGGCTCTGCCTTATTCCACCCCCAAATTAAAATTAACAGTAATAGTTAATTTTGTAAACAGAGTCATAAGTTGCAGAAAAGTGTATACTATTTCTCTTTTCTGTTTGTTTGGTTGGTTCGCTTTTCAAGACAGGGTTTCTCTGTGTAGCCCTGGCTGTCGCAGAACTCGATCTGTAGACCAGGCTGGCCTCAAACTCAAAGACCTGCTTGCCTCTGCCTCCTGAGTGCTGCTATTAAATGCTTGCACCACCACCACCTGGCAACTATTTCTATATTTTTGTTAGTGACATGAAATTCAGTATCCACAGAGAAGATTAAAAATTTAATGTGAGTCCCAATGGTGAAGGCATGTTAGGATTTTAAATGGTCTAGGCTGGGGTATAGTTCCACGGGAGAGCACTTGCCTTTCATGTACAAGGCCCTGGGCTCAATTTTCAGGACAGCACCTTAAAAAATAAACAAGACTGGGCAGTAGTGGCACAAACCTTTAATCCCAGCACTCAGAAGGCAGAGGCAGATCTCTGTAAGTTCGAGGCCAGCCTGGTTTAACGAGCTGGTTCTGGGACAGCCAGAACTGTTTCACAGAGAAACCCTGTCTCAAAAAACCCAAACAAACTTCAATGGCAGCTCACACCTTCAATCCCAGTACTCAGGAGGCAGAGGCAGGTACATCTCTGTGAGTCCAATATATTGGCCAGCCTGGCCAATAGAGTGAGTTTTAAGCTAGCTAGGGCTGTAGAGTGAGACTGTCTCAAAAAAAAAAAAAAAAAAAAAGGTAATCAAACTCCTACAAGCAGATTATACCACAACATTCCTTACTGAGTAAAGGTTGCACTCAGGTTAATAGGAAGAGTAATGACTCTGGGGGGCAGGGGCGGGATAGACAAAGGAAACAACAGATACATTTCAGTAAAGAGTCATCCAGAAAACCTGAGCTGTAAATAGAAACACAAACTAAGACTGGTATGCTTTGGCATTTCTGCAGAACAATCAAATAGGCAAGAAACAGAAAGGCCCTCACTGGCAGAACACTAGTGCAGTCTTTTCTGCTATTTGGCACCAGCAACATGTGTCTACATTTTCACTAAAACCCATGCTAGGCTAGAAGCTTACATCTCAGAAGTGTGGCACCTGTGTGGGAGACCCATGCACAGAGTCCATATCATTAGAACAACTTGGGCAGACTCACCCTTGCTCCCAGGATTGCATATGAGAGAGGGCCAGACTTTCCACTGAGAACCTGATGTCAGTCAAAGGGATGGGCAGGGTGTTCTTGAAGGAGCACTTGATGGTAAGTGGCCAGCTAATCTTGCATGTGTCTGGCATCTGTTAAAAATGGGGAGTAGAGAAAAGACAGGTGTGAGGAGCTCAAGATGAGAGCTTAGATGACAGGTTCTATCAAGACAGTTCTTGGTCCCTTCTCTGGCCCCAGAGTGTCTGTAAGTCTGTGCTCACTTGGGAGGCTCTTGTGGGGTGTCTGACCCAGTTTTGCCTCTCTGAGATTCCATATATTTGCGCATGTTTACCTCTTTAGTTTTGTCAAGCATATTTTTAAGGAACTCAAGGTACATACTCTCACGGAAGCCAGACGTCCTAGTGTGAACTACGTCCTGATCGCATCCAGCAAGTCAAGATGCCTCTTTGCCAAAGCTCAAGAGCTGTGCCGTTGTTAGAGCCCCCAAACTGTAGTGTGGACATAGGTCCCACTTAACCAGTGACCTAAAATACCAAGTTGCCTCACAGAGAAATACATCCAAAACAGGCTGTGTCCATCCTCATCTGTCCAAAACCAGAACACCTGACATCATACACACCCCTACCATACCTTCCTGGTTGTGCCCTCTTCCTCAGAGGCACCTCCTCTGCCCAGGGCACCACAGGGCTCACACCTTTGCCTGCATATTTCGGGTTTGATCTCCTTCAGATGTCCAGGGTTCCTAAAGCAGTGCCTACTCCACACTTTCACCATGTGGTGGCTCCATCCAATCACAGTGTAGATGTATTTGCTAGAAATTTTAGCTCCTGAAGTGCAGTCAATTAAGTAAAGTAAGTGTGCCCTGACAAAGCTAGAGTGCCTACTTCCAGGGTACCTGGAGCACCAACCACATATGTCTAGCCTCAGAGACAAGTATTCTCTGATGCCCACAGACATCTGTGAAGCCACCTGGAGGAGGGTGGGAGTGAGACCCCCCTCCCAAGAGAAAGTAATTATGTTACTTGTATGAGTGTTTTGGTTACATGTTTGCATGTGCACCACATGCATGTCTAGTACCCACAGAAGTCAGAAGAAGGCATCATATCCCCTTAAACTGTTGTTACAGGTAGCCGTGAACCCTTATACATGTTCTGGAAACTGAACCTGGTTCCCCTGTAAGAACAAGTGCTCTTAACTTATTAGCCATCGCTCCAGCCCCTCATTTTTTGGGGGGGAGGGAGTTTGAGACAGGGTTTCTCTGTGTAGCCCTGGCTGGTCTGGAACTAGCTCTGTAGACCAGGCTGGCCTCAGGCAGGGATCTGCCTCCTCAGTGCTGGGATGAAAGGCGTATGCCATCATCACCCAGCTAGAAATTCTTGGTAATGAAGCCATGATGAGTGTGCTGAAACGGTTTCCGAGTAGAGTGGGTCCTGTGAAACATGCGAGTTTCACTGAGTGGGGTCAGGCCAGGGCCCCAGCATGGCTAAGGAGTCAACCACACTACCACAGAAATGCCAAAACACAGTCTCCAAAGGGGGGCCATGTCCTCAGCCTGAGAAGTCCCTATGCAAGGCTGAGGTGTGAACATCTATAGTGAACCCTAGGGCTCACCAGGGAAGAGCTCTGGGGTGATGGTCTTTGACAGGTCATCAGAAACATAATGAGAGCCTCTTATGCAAGCTGTCTTGCCTGGGAGAAAACTGAGCAGAGAGCCAAAGTCGGTCTGGTACCGGCTTTATCTCACCCCACACCGGGGGTGGGCCCATGGCAAGCCTTGTACTTCACAGATTTGTATCCAAAACACTTAGATACACAAGAAGCTGATAGCATGAATCACTTCTGGTTAAAGGAGCTGAGCATCTAAGGATGGGAAGAAGGTTTTATTGTGCCAGCTGCATCTTCACAATTTTGTCCTGTGCACAGGTATTCCTCATTTAAAAAAAAAGTTTAAATTCAGTTAGCCAAAAGTTGAGAAAAGAGAAACTGCTTGACACTTCACTTCTCAGAAATTCCTGTATGGAAAAATGACATGCAATTTTCCTTAGGGATGCAACTGACCCAGTGGTCAGTCAACCAGGGAATCAGAAAGGCCCTGAGCTCCACCTATCCCCAAGGTAGGGTTCCAGATAGGAGCCCTTTCTGGTCTAGAGGCAGCTCACCTCGACAGAGAACGCAGGGTACAGGAAAGACAGGGTCATATCAGTGGCTGCCTTGTCACCAGTTTCCATGACTTCTGCAATGATAAACCCTTTGATGACCATCTCATCATCAAACACACCCAGTTTGTAGATGTAGGAGTCAGCAGCCATGTTGAGAACCACCTCTGATTCTGTAAAAGAGTGGGGAAGAAAGGAGAGGTGAACCCTTGACAAACAGAGTTAAATTAACTCTAGGGACAGAGCTGCTTGGTCTTAGAGGTGTCCTGTCCTCTCTTTGGAGATCCTGCATCCAGGGACCAAATGGACTTCATGATTAACAGAAATCTCCAGGCCCATTCTGGCCCCCATTGTCAGGGTAGTCTGCTCACACTGAGTGTACCCGAAGCCCACTGATGAGAGTAGTCATCCCAAACAAAATCTCTACTGTTGCAGAGACTTTTCATGAGACCATCAGCACCCAATCTGTGATTGTGTGCTAGACCCCAGACTCCTGGCTCACTCATCTATTTGGCCCATTTTTCTATGCCGCTTGGATTGCTTATCACCAATAAAAGTGCTCAATAAACACTATGTCCATTCAAACATAAAAAGATAGACTTCGGGGGTAATCCATAGAGAAGGGAGAGACATCAGGTGGTGGGCATCCTGGTCTCGCTGGGGCCTGAGGTCTCGTTGCCCCTGGTTCTGGTACCTTGACCTTGGACATGCACGGTCTTATGGATGATTCCCAGGTTTGTCTTATTGCCGCCTGTGTATGTCTGTAGGTCGAGGGAACATGAAATGTTGACATTCTGTGGGACGTCCGTTTTCCTTTTCAAAGCTAGGGTCAGAGTGACAGGGTACCCTAGCTCCACCGAATTCTGGAGGACATGTATCTTCAAGCTGTTCGATGATGAACGGTTGGGCTTGTCCTCATCGGTGTGTTTACCAGAGGCCTTTTCCATGGCCTTCCTCTCCTCTGGGGAGCCTGCAAAGACATAGAATGTTTCCTGAGGACACCTCTCCAAGGCCCAACCAAATGTCTGAGTACACCTTGGGGTCTGAGAGAACTTCCCTTTGTCCTGGTTGTTTTTTTGTTGTTTTTTTTTTTTTTTTTTTTTTTTTTTTTTTTTTTTTTTTTATCAACTTGACACAAGCCAGAATCCTCTGGAAAGAAGGGACTTCAATTGAGGAAATGCCTCTATTTCATTGGCCCATAAACAACTCTCTGAGGCATTTTCTTAATTAATGACTAATTTAGAAAGGCCTATAGGTCTGGGAAAAACAGGCCTGGGTTGTATAAGAGAAGCCAGTAAGAAGTGCTGCTCCATAGCTTCTGTTTCAGTATGTGCCTTGGCTTTCCTCAGTGGACTGTTATGCAGAGTATGTGAACCAAATAAACCCTTCCCTTTCTAAGTTGCTTTTCACTATGACCTTTATCACAGCAATAGAAACCAAACTAAAACAGAAATTGGTACCAGGAGCAGGGTATTACTGTGACAGACATGACCATGTTGTTTTGGGGAGGCTATGGGCAGATTTTGGAACTTCAGTTTGCTATTGAGTATTCAGAGCTCAGTGGGCTATTCTGTGGGAGCTTTGAAAATAAAAACGTTAATTAAAACAAGAAAGTAAAAATGTTGAGAGCAATGGAGACAAATGGAATCCTGCCTTGAAAAGTTTCAAGAGAATCTTGAGAGTCCCTTAAAGAATCTATCAGAGACATCTGTATGATACATTTCAATTAAGACTCTGGTATCTGGTCAGCTGAAGTTTAAAAATCAGCTGTGAACTTGAGAGGAAAAGGCAGGCAGATCTCTTTAAGGCCAGCCTGGTCTACATGGGAAATTCTAGTAGCCCAGCCAGAGCTAAACAGTGAGACCCCCCTGTCTGTCTGTCTGTCTGTCTGTCTGTCTGTCTGTCTGTCTGTCTGTCTGTCTGTCTGTCTGTCTGTCTGTCTGTCTGTCTGTCTGTCTGTCGAGAGAGAGAGAGAGAGAGAGAGAGAGAGAGAGAGAGAGAGAACATCAGCTGATAATCAAGAAGCCAGCACCACTAAAGTGAAACCTCTATGAGATGACTGGTTACTGGTCAGCCTTGACTGAGATACCAGAGGTGATTAAGAGACCAGCATCTCGTGGAGGTGACATCTTCTGGGAGTATTTCCTCATCATCAGCACACAGAAACTGTAGTTTAGAAACAGTCAGGGAAGCATCTCATGCTAGCAGCTGACCTTGGTAGTGTAAGTTTCCCAGGTGGCACTAGTTTTGAAGGCATGACAATGTCATGGAATCAGCTGAAGTAGGGCACCATGAGAAGCCAGGGGAGGTCATTGCTGAAGGTGCAGCCATGGAGACCCCAGCGTACTGGAAGTGCAAAGACCATGGGATAACCACCAAGGAGAGTGGGAGGTGTGGCATGGAACCAGCTGGAGCTTAGGAGACAAGCTATGTGTGCTACAGATGAAAGGCAGAACTGTGCCGGCCCTTTGGAGTCCAGGAACCACTAGGAGGTCTCAGATGTAAAGCACTGAATGTTTTACACTTAGTGTTTAATTTTGGGTTTGATTTGATTTGATTGCAACTCTGCCCTGGGTCTTCCCTCTTGGAATAAGAAATATGTAACTTATTTTTGATTTTACAGGAACCCACAGTTAAGAGACTTTGGATATCTTAAAGAGACTGAATTTTTAAAGACTGGGACTTTTAAAAGTTGGAATGTTTTATGCTGTGATGTTGACAATTAATATTGGGAATGAGCAAGTCAGGAAAGGGCTGTTTAATAGTGTCACATTTGTGTGTCAAGGTGACAAGAGTCAGTTAGTTGTCCTGGTTAGATATTTGTAAACTTGACACAAAGCAGGCTCATCTGGCAAGACAGAACTTCAATTGAGAAAATGCCTCCATTTGATCAGCCCTTAGGCAAATCTGTGAGGCATTTTCTTAATAAAAGATCAATGTGGGAGGGTCTGTTCCACTGTGGATCTGCCACCCCTAGGCAGCTGAGTCTGAGTTGTATAAGAAAGCAGGTTGAACAAGACATGAAGAACAAGCCAGTCAGCAGTGTTCCTCAAAGGTTCCTCCAGCTCCTGCTGTGAGTTCCTGCTTTGGCTTCCTTCAGTGGGCTTTGACTTGGGATTCGTAAGCCAAATAAACCCTTTCCTTTCCAAGTTGCTTTTTATCATGGTCTTTATCACAGCAATAGGAACCAAACTGAGATGCCCATTGACTAGAGCTTTGGAGGCCTCCCTGAGAATTCCCCAAGGCCCCAAGCTAGGAACTTGCCTTAAGTGAGAATGGTAGCAGAAAGATCAGAACACCCTACTCCTCCTTAAAAGCTGTGGGAACAAAGCAAAGAGCGACTCCACCTTCAACCTGCCCAGGGCTCTCCACATCAACCTAAGGATCACAGTAACACACTGGGCCACTGACCTAGGCATGGTGACTCATACCTGTAATCCCAGCACTTAGAAACCTGAGACAAGAGAATTACCATGATTTCAAGGCCAGTCTGGACTACAGAGTGAGTTTCAGACCATCTAAAAAAATGAGACCTTATCTCAAAAAACAGGAAGAGAAGCATGAGGTAGTACCATTGCGTCCTCTCCTGGAAAACTGACAGTTCTAGCCACAGTAAAATCAGAAACCTCCTTGTCTGGTGGTATGTGACCTCAACACAAGAGCTTTATTGCCCTTTGACTTCTATACAGCATCCTAGAAATGACCATTCACAGAGCTCACCTTTACTTGACAGACTCAGCTTAACAAACAGCATCTTTCCTGGTGTATTTGAAAGACAATTTTAAAAACCTGAAGAGGAAGCCAGGGAAGAACAAAGACAAAGCAATCTGTGGACTCTCATCTTGAGGCTCTATACAAGTGCAGCTGAAGTAGAGCACTAAGTGTCTTACAACTGGACACAGCCCCTGAGCCAAGGCAAGTTTACTTACCCAACCCAGACAATTAAGGCTGCTGTACACCATCCCCAGCTGACCGTGAGGCAGGTGGGAGGTGATGGAGAGGCTACCCATAATGCATACAGACTGCACAGAGGTGCTTCAGGGACTAATGCACAAGCACACAGTAGGACAGCAAACAGGGTCTGGTCCGCAGACTGCCACAGTAGATCCTCCAAGCTTATCACTTTCAACAAGGAATGGCCCTACACACAAGGAAAACCAACCCCTGCAGAAGCCTGATTTGAAACTTACTAGAGAAAAACTTTTAAGTTCTGGATTTTAAATATTGTTAGTATTCAGGCGTCTGTACTGGCCTGTCCTTGGGGTTCTGACAGGATTCGCCCTCAGCTGCAGCCACTAAGAGCACCACCTGTGCACATTCACTGTGTTACCTTTTAAAAGGGCCCTTCCCACCTCCCACTCTCTCTCTCTCCCTCTCTCTGTTCTGCTCTCTCTCTCTCTCTTTCCTCTCTCCTCTCTACTGCTGCTCCTGTCTTCAGAGGCTCAGCCAGTAAAGTCCCTTTGTTGTGCAAAGTTTTACTCTTTTTACTCTTTGACCTTTTTTGAGGGGCCTGCCACCCAGCTCCCAAATAAATCACACATGAAGGCTTAGTTATAAATGCCTGGCCTTAGCTTGGCTTGTTTCTTGTCAGCTTTTTTTATCTTAAATTATCCCTGACAACCTTTGGCCTCTGGGCTTTTCCCTTTACTTCTGTATATCTTACTTTCACTCTTACTCTGTGGCTGGCCCCTTCTTCTCTCATTGCTCTCTCTTTTTCCCCTCATTTCTCCTTCTATTTATACTCTCTGCCTGCCAGCCCCACCCATCCTTGCTCCTGCCTTGCTATTGGCTGTTCAGCATTTTATTTATCATAGCTTCACACAGTTAAACAAATGTAGTATAAACAAAAGTCATACTCCTTAAAATAATATTTCCCCCACTAAATAATAATAATAATAATAATAATAATAATAATAATAAATATTCCCCAACAGCCTTTACTCCAAGTTTGGTGACCTGAATTCAAGCCTCAAGACCCACATAGTGGAATGTCCTCTGACCTCCACCTGCACACTGTGGTGTGCCCACTCACACATACGCACACGTACATACACAAAATTAATGTAAAACCATTGCAAATACATTCAAGGAACTGAAAGGACAGAGAAAACAGTAGCTCACCAAATAGACACTGTTAATAAAGAACTTGAACAAGACAGCTTAGAGCCTGCACAAGAAACCAGCAGAAGCTTTGAGGCTAGGGTAACTGAAATTATCTAGTCTTCAAGGAAGAAGGAAAAATTACATGGAAGAAGCGACAATACACCGAGCCTTCTCTCCCTCTCTGAAGCACCCGGCAGTCTTGAAATTTTTTCTTTCTTAAATCTCCTACTCGGACAGTGAGATTTGCACCAAGCCTGACAAGCTGTTTATAGAGGGCAGACACTGTCCTGGGTCCCACCACATTTGCTTGCTCACAAGGACAGAGCAAGGACAGACAGGAAGGCCTGGCTTCCAGGAGAAGACTCCTCCCTCCTCTCATACTACAGTGAACAACTCCTGCCTTCTTTACATGACACCCCCCCCAAGTATCTCGGGCTTGCCTTGCACTCACTGTGCTGTAAATGATAACCTTAATTCTGATACCACTGCGTTTACCTCTTCATTGCTGGGACGATGGTATGTGTTCGCATGCTTTGTTTTCATAGTGCTGGGGATTGAATCTGGGACTTCTATTACCACACTACCATCTGAGCCACATCTGCAGCCAGCAAAGAATCAGGGCTGGACAAAAAGCCCTAAACACAGGGCTGCCCACAGATGTGATACGTGTCTTGCTGCCCACCGGTACCTTACCACCACAACCATCATGGATGGGCAGAGAGGACCTATGTGAGCAGAGCAAGGCCAGATATAGGAGTACCTTCTGTCTCAGATGAAGGCAACTCCAAACAAGCCCCGAAGCCCTCTTCTGCTTGCCTCCCTGAAGGACAGTCTGCTATGCTTTAGGAAACATTACCATATCTGGGGCCTCTTCCTCGAGACCACCCATACCCACTGTTGGTGGCTGAGGAACAGAAATTGCATATCCAGCATCAGATGCCCCATGGTGCACAGGCTGTAATTCTCCAGGCAGCCTGCAGTGGGGTGGGGCAGGCCCAGACACAGGAGGCAGAGAACCGCCCATGTCAAAGCCTGACCTGGGCTTGGGGTGTAGTTCTGGCAGAGTGCTTGCCTAGTGTGCATAAAACCCTGGTTCCCAGTTCCAGTAATTGAAAAAACAAAGCCCTGGGCCAGGCACACTAGCCCACACCTTTAATCCCAGCACTCAGAAGACAGAGGCAGGCAGCTGTCTGTGAGTTCAAGGCCAGCCTGGTCCATAGTAGGTTCCAGACCAGCCATGACTACATAGTGAGACTGTCCCAAAAAAAAAAAAAAAAAAAAAAAAAAAGCCTAACTCAGCCACCTTTAAGCTGGGTGAATCTAAGTCAATAAGAACATCTCTGAACCTCTGTGAACTCCGTGTCTGCTTCCTAAAGTGTCTAGAGCATTGCAGGACTCTGCAAGGTCACGGGAGCTGAGGACGCCATATGTTTGGAGCCTGGTGTATGCTGAATGCACAGGCAATCCTGTCACCTTTTATTTTCAATAGGGCATCACAGTATAGTCAATACTGGCTTCAAACTTAAAGCAAATCCCTTACCCTACCCTCCAGGCGTGTGCCACCACAGGCATGCATCTTGCCCTGGAGTGGACACACTGTGTGTCATGCCCAGCCTCCCCCAGCACACAGTCACCCTCACCTCACACTACTTGGGATGCTGCCACATTCTTGCCAATGAGCAAGTGGTTGGGTTGTTGTGACAGGGACCCTATGGCCGACGACTCCCTAGATTTCTACCATCAGGGTCCTTTCGGGCCCAGATCTGTTGTCCTCTGAGGACTGTCCTGGCTCGGGACCAGTGTCCTGGTCTGGGGCCGGCCTGTCTGGCAGAAGCCCTGCACGCTACCTTCGGGGAACTTGTACTGCAAGGTAATGTCTTCACGTTTGTTCTCGCCCACCATCTTGGTACTGATGTTCTTGCCGATACTCGCGGTCTCCACAGCGATGAGGACGTTCTTCTCCTTGCCCTCTTTCTGCTTCACCAGCCAGATGAACTTGTCACCATTGACCTCGGTGAAGACAAACTTGGTGTCATACTGGATTTGGACCGCTCCCTGGCGGATGGCACTCAGTGGGGAAGGCCCGGTGCGGAATCCACCTGTTGGGAAGAGAGAAGGTGGCTGCTAGGCTTTCCTGAACCATCCTGTCCCCCATCCCTTCAGTTGAACACAGCAACAGTCAGAGATCCCACCCAAACAGGGATTTCCACTCATTCCAGCTTAGAAGTGAAATGTCCAGGAAACCTCAGGCCCAAAGGTAAAGAGCCATCCATGCCCCTGTTTCCATTAATTCCAGAACATGGCCTGTGCCCTGAGTGGCCTAGACTTCATCTCCTCAATATTGGATATAAAAGGTAGTACTGGCCTCATGAAGTCATCAAACATCAAAAATCAAAGTAGTGCACAATGATACTCAGCACTGCGATTATCTGAGAACCACTGCCAGCCGTCACTATTGATCTGAACCAATAACACTGCCTTCTAGTCCTGACATAGGAACAGAAAGGTCTCCTTGACTGAAATTAGCAACTTAGTAAGCATCAGTCTCCCAGCTCGTCAGTGTACAGATTGGTTTGATTTTGCACACTCGTGTACTCTCAACACTGGGCTTGCCATCCCCTTTGTTCTCTTAAGCCTTCAATACAAAAACTCCTGTTCTCACCTCTGAAAAGCAGCCAGCTCTGCAGGTCAGTGTCCTGGGGGCTAAGACACAGGACAGGGCTGCTAATCTAACACTTACTCTGTTTCTCACATGGCAGGGGGCACCCCACTGTCTGCCCCCACCTTATCTACAATGTGAATGGGTAGGTGGCCTTCTAGAGCCCTTTCCACCTGGGCTGTATAAGGCTTCTAGTACCTCCCAGGTAGATGGTGACTGTAGGCTGTGTGCAGCCCAGGTGCAAGGAAGGGTACTGTCCCTCACCTTGGCAGATACTACTGGGACCCCAGAGAGAGGACCCCTTGCTGAGCGTCTTTCAGCACAAGGAGGTGTAGCAAGCTCTCTTCCCCACGGGGACATGAGAACAGCAGATCTCTGGAGAGCTCTGGCTGGTTCCACGGGGAACTGTGATGCTGTGATTCTGCATTGGGAAGCCTTTGGGACAGACTTGGTTGAAAAAATACAAGCACCAAAATATTTTAAATTGTAATTTGAATGCCTTTGGGGATTGTGCTTCCTGCATGTGGGTACACCTCCTCTATCCACACTGTTTCCTCTCTGTCCAGGTGATGACCTTGATCCTGGAGAGGCTAAAGAAGTGAATTACAAGGATGTCTGTGTCCTGTGGAAGTCAAGGTCCATAGGGATTTGAAAATGGAGGGGCCAGGTTGTTGGGAGCCTGGGGTGGCCTGGTTAGAGAAGTTCTTTTACAAAATGTGGGTTCGCAAAAAGGTTCAATACTTGATCTTATCTAAAATCTTTCCATTTGCTGGGCAAATTATTTTGTTTGTTTTTGTCTTGTTTTATTCTTTTATTTTTTGAGACAAACTCACTAGTTAGCTGAGGATGACTTTGAACTCCTGATTTTTTTTTCCTTCTCTCAAGTGATGGGATTATAGACAAGTGCCACCACAACCAGGTAACTTGGTTTTTTTGTTTGTTTGTCTGTTTGTTTGTTTGGGTTTTTTTTTAACACTCAGACTAACTTAGCTGAGTGTGGGGGCACAGACCTATAATCCCAGCACTGAAGGTATGGAGCTGAATGGATTGGAGCACTAGGCCAGTCTAAACTGCCCAGCAAGACTATGTCTAAAAAAATCTTTTTTAAAAACTGTTTTTTGAGCAGGGTGTTGGTGGTGCACACCTTTCATCCAAGCACTCAGGAGGGAGAGGTAAGAGGATCTCTGTGAGTTCAAGGACAGCCTGGTCTATAGAGCAAGTTCCAGGACAGCCAGAGCTAACAGAGAAACCCTGTCTAAAAACCAACAAGACTGTTTTTGAGGGGTGGAGAGATGGCTCAGAGGTTAAGAGCACTGGCTGCTCTTCCAGAGGACCTGAGTTCAATTCCCAGCAACCACATGGTGGCCACAACCATCTGTAATGGAATCCAATGCCCTCTTCTGGTGTGCAGACATCCATGCAGACAGAGCATCCATACATTAAAAAAATACATAAATAAATAAATAATGTTTAAAAACTGTTTTCGAGATTATAATTACATTTCTCTTTTCCCTTCCTTTCCCAAGACCTCCTATATTCCTTTCCTTGCTCTTTCTCAAAATCATGGCCTCTTTTTTCATTGTTTGAAAAATATTAAATAAATATAAATTAATGAAAATAACTTGATTCTGATGCAGGGGAAATTTGGAAGAAAGTTGATGCTTAAGAAATAGTAAGTTGGGCTGGAGAGATGGCTCAGAGGTTAAGAGCACCAGCTGCTCTTCCAGAGGTCCTGAGTTCAATTCCCAGTACCCACATGGCAGCTCACAACTGTTAGTAACTCCAATTCCAGGGGACCTGACACCTTCATACAGACATACAAGCAGGCAAACCCCAAAGTACAATAAGTAAGTATCTTTAACAAAGAAAGAAAGGAAGAAAGAAAGAAAGAAAGAAAGAAAGAAAGAAAGAAAGAAAGAAAGAAAAAGGTGGCCAACCAATGCAAATTCTGTACCAAAATTGAAGTTTAGGGTTACTGAGAAAGTTTCTGCTAATGTTTGTTCACCAATTTTATCTCAAATTAGGCTCATTTCTAACAAAAGGAGATAACCCCAACTTAAAACTGGCCAGGAGGCCCATCCCCCATCTCTAATGTGGTCAGTTCCAGGGGCAGTACAGGGTCACAGCCATCACTAAGTCTTGGTCTGCCGTTAAGTCCCATCCCGATCCATCCCCCCCAGTCCCCGGCTCTTATAGGGAAAGAGTGTAATTTTGCCAAGTGGGCAAGATCAACCTGAGTAACAACTATTCAAAAAGAACAACACTGACATGTGGACATAAGAAATAAGTTTGGCAACTTCTTTGCTACGTAAGTCTCCCATCCGCCTGTAGCCCGACTTGAAGTCTCTTGTCTGCTTCAGTGGCTCAAGGTGCTACCTGGGACTGGGATGGTAAAGAGATTTAAGGATGATGTATATGAAATGTATAAGCTAAGGCCTACACAGGCTGAAAATTCTTTCTGTTCCAGGCTGGTTCCCTTTTGTGCATTAGCCAGAAACTGTAACACACCCTTTTTTTTTGGGGGGGGTGGTTTTGACACAGGGTTTTTCTGTGGCTTTGGAGGCTGTCATGGAACTAGGTCTTGTAGATCAGGCTGGTCTCAAACTCACAGAGATCTGCCTGCCTCTGGCTCCCGAGTGCTGGGATGAAAGGCATGCGCCACCACCGCCCAGCCCATCACACACTCTTAAGAAGCTTTTTCCTTTATTAATCTTTTTAGTGTGCAGGGCAGTTTCTCACTGATGAGGCATATTGACTCTATAACAAATAACAATTCTACAGATTTCCCAGGTAACCTAAGACCAGACTTCATCTGTGCAGAAACTCTTCAAGCTCCTTCCCACCCGAGACCAGATAATAGGTGAACAGCAAGATGAGGTGCTCCTACTCCATCCAACTTGGGCTTTATGGACCAACTGCTCAAAGACCTGTGGCTGGAAGCCCTATTCACGTCACCTCCCTGAGCCTTGGAAAATGCAGATAATGACAAAACTTGCTTTGAAAGATTAGCTGTAGTCTAGCAGCCAACGGCACTTACTAAGCCTGGCAGCCTGAATTCAACTCCTAGCACCCATGTGATAGAAGGAGAGAATTGGCTCTCACAAGTTGTCCTCTGGCCTCCATGTGTGTACCATGATTCATGTGTGTGTACACACAAACCAGTAAATAGACATAACTTAAAAACATTTGGAAAGGTGAGTTACGGGCTGCACATCCAGTGAGCACCTGCACTTAACCATTCCATTGTGTGACTGTCACCCGTGTCCCCTTCATAAAGCCTTGCTCAGGGTGACCACCCGAGACCCACAGACTAGTCAGAAGAGCAGCTCAGACACGGCCTCCACCCCCAGCTCCTCCTGTGCCCCATACAAACTCACCCTCGCTGATTTCCTGTGGTGTAGCATCCAGGACCTGCCAGCCATCGTGGCCCGGGGGCAGATCCTGTCTTTTCATCCAGGCATCTGTCCACACATGGAAATTCCTGTGGCAGTGGAAACAAACTTATCAGAGCCAGCCATGCATTTAGAGAACCTGTCATCACAGTCATCTAAGGCTCTGAAGAGGGGACATTTGTCAACAAAGGCAAGGACAGTGGGGAGTGTTGTGTAGAAAGCAGAGCTCAGAGCAGATGGGCAGTGAGGGAGAAACTCCTGAGGCCCAAAGATCCCTGATGCTAGCCTATACTGAATGAATGAATGAATGAATGAGCAAACAACTGTAAATCCTTTCCCAACCCAAAGGGATTCTGATTTTATTGATGAATAGTTTTGTAGCTGGGCAGTATTTTTGGTTTGTTTTTAAGACAGGTTTTCTCTGTGTAGCCCTGGCTGTTCTGGAACTCACTCTGTAGACCAGGCTGGCCTTGAACTCGAAGATCCACCTGCATCTGACTCCCCAGTGCTGGGACTAAAGGTGTGTGCCAACACTGTCCATCTATTCTTCCTATTTTAAAGACAGTTGCACCATATGGATTAACAGGCCCTGGTGTCTCCAGCATACAGTGCCAAAGTGGAAGACTTGGCACATTCAGCTGTAGGATCCATGGCTCCACCCAAACCTCCAGACACCTTCCCTCCCTAAGAATCCCTGAACTTTTAGCCTGCAAGGTGCTGTGCACTGGGTCAGAGAGCACAGGAAACAGTGCTTCTTATTGAATGTGGGTACCAATTATATCAGAGGGTGGCACACAGCAGTCTGTCTCAGTCTCCTGGACTAGAGGCCAGAAGTAAAGGTCAGTTCTTGGCCTTTGCCTCCATGGGGGCAAAGGTTGCAAGCCTTCCCAGGTGTCTAGGTCATGAGACAAGGTTGACCATGCAGAGCCGGTTTCTGGAGTTGACACTGCTCACAGCTTGAACAGAGGAGGCTGCAAAGCCCACAGGTAGAACAGAAGAGGAACCCTGACTAGCCAGGAAGGAGCTCACCTGTAGCTGGAGCTTCTTTCCAGCCAGGTCCCACTGCTTCATCCCCAAATGAGCACAGGGACGCTATGTTAATTATAACTCTGTTGGCCAATGGTTAGGGCTTCTTATTGACTAGCTATGTCTTAATTATTAGCCCGTTTCTATATATCTATGTATTTCCACATGGTCTTGAGTTACTGGAGAATGCCCAGACCTGTTACTTCTTTGTGGTCTACATGGTGTCCCTTGCGGTGCCTCTTTGCCTACCTTTCCCAGAATTCTTCTCATCTCCTTGCCCTGCCTATCTTCCTGCCTCCGCTGGCCATTGGCCAAACAGTGTTTTATTCATCAATGAATAAGAGAAACATATATACAGAAGGACGTCCCCATCACTTACCAGATAGAGTCTTTGGTCAGATCTGTATTTGTCTTGCCCGATTCATCCAGGTAGATGTCTACTATGAGATTCTTTCCTGTATCGTGGGCTGACTCAAAGTTGGTCACGCTTCGAGCTGGAATGCCGATTGCTCTCAGTGCTGAAATGACCCCAGAGAGGCTGGTGAGCTTCTGTGGAGGTTGTGTGATCCCTGCCCCAACTGTAGCCTACCTGTGGTCAGGATTCCAGAGAAAACCCAGCACTGGCCAAAGCATACGGGCAACTTGGTGGCATAGTGCTGCTGGAGGATGGGCACACTGCTGGTCCACACATATGGGGCAGTGCCATTTTTGTAGTCTCCTGACCAATTCCCCATCAGCACACCGTTGTTCACAGAGCACATCTGACACAGGACAGAGCAGTGTTAGCATCTGTGCTCTCTCCACACCCTGCAGATTGTTCAGGACAGACAGAGCAATCAGAAGGAACAAGGGACACACACACTTGTTGAAGGCTAGCCTTGGCTGCAAAGGGAGACTCAGTCTCTCCTTGCTGTACTCCCCCAGAGAAACCACCACTCACGAAGCAAGAGTAAAATATTGGAGAGCATCTGCCATCATCTGGAAAGGCTGGGCCAGTATGCCGATGTGAGACAGACTGTGTTAAACAAAATAAAGTAACAAGGTCCCTCTACGTATGCAAACTGTGGCCGATTATCTATTAAGCCAGACACTAAACAGATTTGCAAAAGTGCATGCCACAGCCGGGCATTGGTAGCGCATGCCTTTAATCCCAGCACTCGAGAGGCAGAAGCAGGCGCATCTATGTGAGTTCGAGACCAGCCTGGTCTACAAGAGCTAGTTCCAGGACAGCCTCCAAAGCCACAGAGAAACCCTGTCTCGAAAAACCAAAAAAAAAAAAAAAAAAAAAAAAAAAAAAAAAAAAAAGTGCATGCCACACTACTCTCATCTGCACATATTTTATACTTCAGAAAGTTTTTTTAAACAAAATGCACATTGTGTTAGCATGTAGATTTACTGTGCATTCGTGCGTGCGTGCGTGCGTGCGTGCGTGCGTGCGTGCGTGCGTGCGTGCATGTGTGTGTGTGTGCGTGTGTGTGTGTGTGTGCCTGCAAAGGTCAGAAGAGAGCACTAGATCTCTCTGGAGCTGTAGTTCCAGGAATTATGAGCCATTTGATGTGGGTTCTAGGAACCAAACGTGTGTCCTCTTCAAGGACAGAGAGTACTCTTAATTACTGGGCCATCCATCCAGCCCCCAAAACTTTCTTTTTTGAGTCAGAATCTCAGTATGTAGCCCAGGCTTGCATGAAACTCACAGCAATCCTTCTGCCTCAATATCCTGAGTGCTGAGATTACAGATATGAACTACCATACCCAGATAAAAGAATATGTTTAGACTTCTGACTTTTTTTCCCTTTCTGTCTTTTTACTGTGTTGGGCATTGAACCCAGCTCCATTTGTTGGTTGGTTGGTTGGTTGGTTACTTTTTATTTGAGAAACAGTCTAGCTATGTTACTCAGGCTGCCATTACACTTGAATTCTCCTGCCTCAGTCTCCTGAGTAGTTGGATTACAAGCCTATGCCACAAAGTCCAGTTAAACTCTGGGCATCTTAAATCCTAACAGGAAAATCAGACCTAGCACCTTACCAAACACCTTCATCTGGACCCTGAAGTGAAGGGCAACTAACATTGACATGGCAACCTGTCACGGGAACTGATTGCTTTGTGGGGGGGTGTCTCTGCTCGCCTCTATCTCAACTGCCCATATGGCCTACTTAAGTTGCTGTCTATCTGGACACTGTAGTGTTCTTCACCCAATAGCTTCCACACTTGACCCTGAGGCTTGGTTCAATCCTGTAATCTCACTGCTTTGCTCTGCAGTACTTTTTACTCTGTAGTACTTTCCGGTAGATCTTAGCAGGGTTAACTCTCTCCCTCCCTCTCTCTCTCTCTCTCTCTCTCTCTCTCTCTCTCTCTCTCTCTCTC